TGGGAAGCCTGTTGCAATTCAAAAATCATAGCCGTTGGGCACCTCATTCAATGCCTAACAGCCATATTTTTTAACACCAAGGGCCCAAATTCTATTTTCCTATAAATATTAACCATCCTTGATCATTTTTAACACACAACTCACATTCCTCTTGCATACTTTAAGCCTCTACTCACTTTCTAAACGCTTCAACAATGGCTAGAGGAAAGTCAAGGACCAAAACCGAGGCTGCAAAGAAGAAGGCCAACACCGACGCCACGACATCTTCTTTATTTTCTCCTTATTAAATATGATTGTATTTTTATCCGTTGTATTCTGCATTTCCCTTTTAAATGAATAAAAGTTTACTTTTAATTCTTTTTGTTAATGTCAAAAGGGGGAAGATATAAAGGTTATGCATAGATTCAGGGGGAACTATTTCTAAATTGCATTTATTAAGGGGGGAACATTTTTTAAGTCTCAAATCAATCCTCCTATGCATAACCCCGTCTTGTTTGCCATTATCAAAAAGGGGGAAATTGTTGAAACACGGGTTTATCACGTTTTCGTACTAAAGCTGTGTTCGTTGTTATGACAGGTTTTGATAATGCCAAACCGCTGTGAACGAGACAAGTCATTGAATATACAAGGCGAGAACCAAAGATGAGACGAAAGATAACAAGGGCAAAAAGAAGACCAAGAACGAAGACCGTAGTCTTAGTGTCGTTGAGTCAGTCACAATTGTGATCAAGACCGACCCAATCTTTACACCTTGGCTCTTTAGGCTAAAATTCTTTTCATTGCATTTCACATCATAAAAATTTTTTTCAAACATGTTTAAAACATTAAAAACACTTGGTGTTTGCCCAAACCAAAAACCAAGCCATCCGGCATTCGGGTTTCAGAAACCGGCGTTCGGCATTCGGTTTTCGGCGTTGGTTTTTGGCGTCCGAACTAACCAAGTGGTTTTCAACTTTTTATGATTGGTTTTTACTTCTGGGCAAATTTAAATAGTTTTCCATAAAAAACACTTCAAAAACCACCTTTCGTTTTTTGTCATTTGATAAAAACCATGCGAAATGGCATAAACTTGGCTAGCCGTTGTTTTTACTTAAATGAAGTGGTTTTCAAGTCTTTTTGTGTAGGAATTGTTTTTGAATGCATTTAAATGGTTCTCCAATCAAAACATCATTAAAACCACCTTTTGGTTTTGTCTTTTGGTAAAAACCACCCGTGTACGGCGTTGACTTGGTCAACCGTGGTTTTTACCTTAACGACGTGGTTTTCAACTTAAAAAGCTTGTTTTGACATCACAATACATTAAATAAGTGTTTTATATACTTAGTTTTTACTTTGGAGAACTTTGCATTTTTCGGTCAGGTTTTATTGCCGGTCAGCTAAGCCATGGTTCTGGGCTAGCCATCTACCCAGCGATGGTAGATATCACCCATGCATGGGTGATATTGGTCCGTTGGAGCCTATTTTGGCACTATAAAAAGGGGTGTTTGGGTCTGCTTTACACATCAATTCACTTCACAATATTCATATTATCATTGCATCCAAACGAAATTATTTTCCATAGCTTCCTAGAGCCAACTTGTGTGAAGTTTGAGTTGTTCTTGAGCGTATATATTTTACTCAATATCCACTCTCAAGGAGAGTCTTGTTCTTGAGTGTCTTAGTGTTGTATACACGTTAAGGGAAGCCTGTTTCCCTTAGTTGTACGAAGGAAAGGTATTTTCCTTCGGGTTGAAGTCTTGGAGTGCGGTATCTCCAAGCAAGTGTTGTTGAGGCTCGTGGGACTCGAGTTCTCAGGTTGTAACGGTTTGTTAAGCACCCGTAAGTTTAACGAGAAAGTAGTGTAGCTCGAGAGAGTCTCTCGGGAGACTGGATTAGCCACACGTTGTGGTGAACCAGTATAAATCTTGGTGTGCTCCCTTTACGCTTTCTACGCTCTTTATCTTTCACGTTCTTAATTTTTTATTCCTGCGATTTCTAGGATCAAACACTATTCACCCCCCCTCTTAACAAGTTTAAGATACAAATTTTTAAAAAGAGTTTTTCAAAATCTTAAACTTACCTTCGCTTAAGGTCATCCAGAAACCGAACAACGGAATGCTCACTGTCGGGTTGGGTGGTATCCCCAAACGAGTTTGTAACGCCCCAAAATATACCCTAGAATTATTAATGAATAAATAATCAATTAATCAAATTTGTTTTGATTAAAATAAATTATTGTTGGGCTTTGGGCCGATACGAAATTTGTTTTGACATCTAATATCAAAATCTGGATAAGTCTCATAGAGATAAATCCAATATGTGGACTATTTGTGTTGTCTTGATTGGGAACCTGAGTACAGACCCAAATCAAGAGTAAATAAAGAATTTGTTTAGAATGTAAATATTGAAATGATTTGTTGAAATAAATCATGAGAATAATTGATATGAATTAAATGAGAGAACCTTTTATGAGAAAGGTCAATTAAACCAATTTTGACTTTGTTAAAGTCAAACACCCAAAAATGTGGTGTCGGAAAAAGTATAACGAATGAATATAAAAATTATATCGTTGGATAGAGTTCGAGTGTCTGATCGCAACGGTGCAAACAGATTTCAATTCGGAGAAAGTTGGACCGAAAAAGTATACCCCGACTCGGACCAAATTAGTCCCAATCAGAGAGTAACGTGCTGAGTCTCCTTAAGTTGCACTATCACCAAAAGAAGAACGTGAATTTCCTACGCAGCATCTACTCAGACTTTGTTTTCTTTCTTCTTCATCTTCCCTATAAAAGGAGAAGCTAACTCCCTCATTCCTTCACCATTCTCCTTCAAATAAACTCTGAGAGAAAGCTGTGAGTGTGGAGAACGAAGTTGTGTTGGCCTTGAATGCCATACCCCGTAACCGTTTTGATGTGCCAAATAAGTCTTCCAAGTGCTACTAACATCATTTGCAGGAAGAAACCAAACGCCAAACCTCTATTAGCTTGTTTAGCATCACCGAGATATACTCCTACGAGTTTAGAAATTATTGTGTAAAGGTAATAATATATATTTTAATGATATACTTATGCCCTTTCACTCAAAAATTAATTTTAAATGTCAAATATATTCTAAGTTGGGGTCATTTTGAAAACGGAACACGAAAAACGAGTTTTGGAAAATTTACACTGGCCTAACGGTACCAGGCTACCGTGTACACGGCACCAGGATACCGCCGGTAGCCAAGTGAACGTACCGTAGCACGTTTCACTGAAGAGGTACACGGTACCCCCTACCGTGTACGGTACCTTGGTACCGGACGGAAGGCTGAGACGTATGGTTACCCCCGTCCTAACCAG